TAAAGCCACGAAACCATCGTGATAGCGCAAATGTGATATATGTTATAAAATAGGACATTATGCTTCTAAATGACTTGATAAAAATAATTAGTTTATTATGTCTTAATAATTAATTATAATAAAGTCATATGACCTCATATAATATCATGTGATCTTATAAGGTGTGATACTACTACAGGGAGGTGTTAAATAAATTTACTCTTTATTTAATATGACTATTATATTATTAGAACATATTTACAATATTCTTGATACATGTTAAAATTCATCATTTATACATATTAATTTATGAATATTATAAAAATCTTATTATAATATTACATATATATTATTATAATCTTTTGTTTTATGTATTATTTTGAAATACTATTATATTTATAAGATTTTTATTTATTTATATTTATAATTTATGAAATATTTTATAAATATTGTAAAAATATAATATTAAACTATTATAAAATATTACTAGTAATAAATATTATTAAATATTAGCTAACAAATTAATAATTCTTGAACAGATAATAATTTTACTACTTCAAATTTTATTAGAATTATTAAATTAATAGTATAATCATCACAATTTTTAACTGCAGTTTGTGTATCAGTTTTATTTAAGCAATTATAATAGCTTTAATAATTTGACATACAAAAGTATCAAGTTTTTCAGTAATGATAGGATCTCTTCTTAATATCTGTTAATTCATTATTTTTAGATGCAGATGAAATATTTGATGTTATATATCTTTACTAATAAATTCACTTAATTCACTATCAGATATTTCTTCTTTCCTATATTTATACCAGCCTTAACAAATAAGCAATAATGGAAATTCTCCCATTTTCTATATCGATTATTTTTTAAATGAATACTGAAAAGGAAATGAACTGGTGTTAGTCGTAAATCGTGCTATGCCTCAAATGACCTCACACTGCGACAATTGTTATAAACGTTTAGATAATGTATTGAATAATATATTTTTTATTATTTATCTGATTTTTCTTTATTTGTATTATTTATTCTTATTAAAAAGCGTAATACCTATAAGTTAACCTTAGATAGTATTCTGAATAAGACTTGGGATTAAACTTATAACTCTATATTTAAATAAAGATACTATTTTTATACTTCAACCTTCTTTTTATCTTCTGATCATGATAACTAACTATACAGGTGAATCGTAAAATAATTGTTTTGTTTTTAATCACTTATTTCTCTTAGAAAGGTCTTCAAAATAATTGAGCTATTAAGATAATTAGTTTGTTAGCTTAATTTCGATACAATTCAAGGCCTAACACTAGATACTTCAAATTACTATTAATAATTGTCATATTAATATCATATTTTATTTTATTCATAATAAATAGCCTGAATATCAAATATTTGTTTATTGCAAATTTTTTTTGAAAATTATTTGTTTTGTCATATGAATACTCAAATCTTTAAAAAAATCAAAATTACCAGTAATCAAAATAAGTTAAATAACTTACAACCAAAATTTTTTTTATTATAAAATTCTATAAAAGCAAGATATTTAAAGATATTGATATAAACATTAAGACAGGTTTCATTAACAATAAAAAATTTTTTTTTGTTTTCTTATTACACTACCTTTTTATGTAGGTGTTTCAAAGATTTGAATCAATGGATATTGGATAATATATAATATTACCCTATTTTTGTTTGATATATAAATTTGGTATTTAAAAGATTATGTGATATATTCGATATTTGACTTTCTCACGAAAACGAGAAATACACATAATGTTATTTTAAATAGTTGATAAATTGCTGTTTATAATATATAGCTTACGTGTTTTCATAATTATTTTTTTAGAATAGGATATAAATACCAAAATCTAACCAGTTTTGAAGCATGAAACTACAAGACAACAAAAAAGGCTATAATAATCAGGGATAGAAGTAGAGATATTCTATTATGTTTATGAATTTCGGGTTGATTCATTCAAGAGCAAATTTTTTTAAATTTCTTTTTTTATTTTATTTGCAAAGTTCATAATTAATGAAAAATAATTTGAATGGATTATAGTAAGATTTAGAATCTAAAAAAGAGGAGCAGGTTGAACAATATCATTCGTTTGATTAGTCAGATCTTTTTGATAAAATTATTATCTCATGAAAAAATGCATCAGCATGTTTGAAAACGATTTATGCCTGATAAATCATAGACAACGACAGTTGGATCATATATCTTACTATGTTTAAGCAGTGCAATTAGAGTAATGTTGGATCACCTATCCCCAGACTAAGGTAGAGGAGGTCACTAAAAACAGACTTTTCTTTATTTTTGCAAGCATAATAATATGAATCTTCACTACCCTATTTAGAAGACTGTCAGCATTCCCATACACAGCTTGAAAGCTGTACACCCACATATTATTACCTTATAATAAAACAAATGCCAATGAGTAAAAACCTCACCTTTCATTAAAAAAGCTCACTTCATTTCTAAAAAATATGAATTTGTCTTCCTTATTTTTTACAACTTTTTTATTTTGTTTTCCACAACATACAATAAGTAATAAATTAAAAAAAATAAAATCATATATTTTAGCATTTTTCATATATTTAGAGTTGTTATAAGAGATAAGCCTTTTTTTAAAAAAAAAGTATGAAAAAAGTGAAGCATTTTAATTCTTTTAAAAAAAGGCAACGGTATCTATATAAGAATTTTGATGCGTCACTTCGTTCAATAACAATTTTTTCTAGACCCACGTGATAAGTACTTTATTTATTTAAGAATAATCAAATGTATAATGAATCACTAAATTAAATATATTATATTAATATTGAAATGACATATCAATAACAATAAAATAACGAAAACTTTTTAAACTCGCGACCATTTAAACTACGTTAGCAGTATATTAGATAAGTACAAAGTTTCTTTTCAAAAATGTAAGCTAAGTGACAAAGCAAGCCCTTGGTGAAAAGTAACAAATTATGTTTTAGAATAAGCAAAGCGCAGTGCAATTATAAACACAGTTCGCAACTAGAAGTTAATGACACCTTGTGTAATAGTTGCTATTGTACATTAGTTATGCATGAATTATCAAAGAACAGCTAAAAGAAAAAAAAATTATGATACTGCTTATTAGGGATGCTAATGGTCACGGTCATGATCGGTCATAACCGGTCATAACCATGACCGATAGCGATAATGCTGCGCCACTAAATAAAAATGACAAAGTAGTTTTAAAAATGCCATGCTAGTATTGTTAAAGCAAGAATCAAATTTATAATATTTGGCTAAATTAAAACTTTCTATTTATCCAAAACTGCTCAATTATATTATTATTAGCCGGGTCAGTTAAAATCGGTCAGTTAACCGGTCGGTCGGTCAAAGGCCTTTGACCGATCGTTGACTGTTGACCGACCACGACCGACCGTTACCATCCCTACTGCTTATCGTTCGTATAAAATGATTAAAAAGTAACTAGTTAATTTAAAATTGATGAATATATGCTTTTTAGCGAATCAATTGAGGAGCTATCAGCTAGGATACATGAATTAGAAGCTGAATTGTCAAATATAAATCATCTGAATATTTGAACAATTTTAATAATTTTCGTGATTCCTAAATAATAAGGTCTGTTGTAGCCCAAAATGTAAAAAAATTATGTGGATAGCTTTTCCGAATCCTCAGGCGCTATCGACTATCCCGTGACTTTTGAAATAGTTGTTCACAAACAAGTAATAAGATATTCTTTTTTTGTTTCACCGGTCTTTTGAATTTTTAAAATCACCTTCTGAAAGGTTCTTAGGCCGCAGTGTCACTATTTTTAATTGAATATCCTCTAGAATATAAAGAAATTACATAGTTCCCGGGATATGTTTTCTTTGATCTACATAATTCAGGAAACTACTTTTGCGAGCATTTGGAGGACCTAAAATCATACTCGTGTTTCTTCTCGTAAGATTTATGATTATCAATCAAGTGTTATAACATTTTTCGAAAGTTTTAAACTTCCGATACTATTCATAAAACATTCAAGCAAAAAAACCAACAAGAATAATATAAATTTAGCTAATTTAAAGCCTAAATCTTCAATATTTTCATCAACAAAGTCTGTAATATTAATTGTTTCATAAAACTTTTAAATTCGCCCTTAATAAATCGAAATTATAATGAAAATGTAATACAACGAAAATTATATTAAGCATGTCCTGTCGTGATGCTGAGCTTCAGTTTCTACCTTAAAAGTCAATTTAACATTATCTTTTGTTGTTCATTTCTCAATAACTTATTTCTAATAAACCATAAAGTTGAAATGAAAATCCTAAATCGAACAATCCCAACGCAAATCTATCAAACTACTGATGACTTTTTTTGATTTTTTTTTTCCAATTTCATGAGATCGCTTTCAAACGTTAATTCAATAATATTTCTTAGACAAATTTCTAAATCCATTTTTGAAAATCTACTGGCAAATTTTTATTGAGTAATATCCATAATTTAATTTTATAACTCATCTTCATTAACCACCCGCAAGAAAAGCTGATTTGCGTAATTAGAACATTTATAGATTCTCTTATCAACTCAACAGTATAAGTTGCTAGAGGCATTATGATATTGGCTATATCAAAGAAATTATAAACGCTCTCCTCACACCCTCATGCATAAATTGCACACCAACCGATAATAGCCCAAATTATAATCATAATATTTATAATTATTTTAAATTGCAACGCAACATCATCATCAGCTTGCTTAGCTGAAATAATAGTATTTTTTTACAAAATTATTTCTTACAGAGCCGTCAAAACAAAATAAACTAGCAAAACAAAAAAATAACAATGCGTGACGCAGAAAATGATTGCGTGCAGATCTTCATATAAAATCTATTATAAATTGTTAATATTAACACGCACGTGATTTTAATTGGTGGCTCGGTTCGGCTTACGTAATCTTAATAAGCATGATCTTCCCCAATTGTTCAGTTTCTTCCCAAAAAAATTTTGTGTAAAATTATCAACGAAAATGGCAACATTGTATAATGATACTGATACTGATTCGGATTCGTATTCGTATTACAGGGCTAGTAGATGTTTGAGATATTATCATAGTGACGACGAGATTAATGCTATTTCAAAAGCTCTCGTCCGAATGTCTGATGATGATTCCAACTCAAATGAACTGAAAAAATTTCGAAAACTTTGGTGGGATCAAGGAAACCTTCATCCAAAGGCGTACTGGGTTCATGCGAAGTAAGTAATGCTTGTCTTTTTTCTACTGAAGACAAACTAATTTTTGTTAATTAATTATATTAAGACTTCCATACACCCTTGTTGAAGGTGTGTCTTTGGAAGAATACGAACGTCGTGGAGACATTTTTAATATTCATGGCTACTGGGAATGGTTTGATGGCAAGGTCAAGGTCATTGAATGTCCATCTAGACCACATGAAATTTGTATTAGCAAGATTGTTTGTCAATTAATGGATGCTTGCAGAGATGTAACGAATACCGATGCCGAGATCTATAATCTAGGATCAACTCGTAAGCATTAATTCACTAGCTTTCTTTATATCTATGATGTCAAATTAATCTTGATTATTTAAAGGAACTCGTGGCGGTGATTCCGGAAAAGAAGCAGACGCATCATTTGGCCCCGAAAAAGTTGCAGCAACTTCACCAAATGGGAGCGATGGGAAACGTACTTTACATTCTTCCTAGTTCTTTAAATTCTTCAAAAGCCGGTTCATATTTTACTTTTTTTGGTTTTAGGAATTACCTTGGCCAAATATAGTTGTCGAGGTCGCATATTACCAAACAGAAGAGCATATCATGACTAAGGTGCAGACATACTGGCTATATAACGATCGTGTTCATGATGTGATTGTTGTTAAGATTGATCCAGTTCCCGTAGGCCAAGTTCCTTCGCGTTTAAGAGTAAGCTACATTTTTACAATACACACAATAATTTATTGTTCACGTGTCATACTAAAGATTTTGTTCTTGGCAGGCGTGGCATTTTTGCGTCTCAAATGGTAGGTTGCCAAACGGAAATGTTCCAGCAAGAAACATGGTAATTAATACTACATGCATCAAATTTCTTTTTGTTGATACGTGCAAAACCTCTAATAAATATGCTTGAATTCTTAGTTCGAATTTGGCACTCATAATGTGAATGGGGATCCTTTAAATTTCGAGCAAGGCACATGTATCATCAACATTAATTTAGGCTGCCTATACCACGGTTTGCGTCCTCCAATTCAAATTCCTCGAAATCATCTTCCCGATCCTATTAAATTAGATTTCTTTTTTGTGCGACACGCGATCATAAAAAAATGTTTAACATAAATAAAAAATGAGACAATGAATTAGTATTACAGATGACCATAGATAGAACATAAAATTATTTCAACGTTGATATATTGCTTTAAAAAATAAATAAAAAATTTTTTAAATTTTATCCTTCTCTGCATATTACCTATCAAATTCATTACGCCACATTGTTGCGCCTGAACACATTGCAATAAATATTTTTTAATAACGTTTTACCGACTATACAATGTATAGTTAATTTTTACTATTCTCAATCCAATAAAATGTAACGTATTATATAAATGTAGCTTACATATAATAACAGGGGAAACAGCCGCTAAATTTTTTCTCTTTAATATATTACACAAAAATAAATCCAGAATTTTTTAACTATATTGAGCCAAATTTGTCTAAAAACGTTTGAACAATATTCACTGCACATAATCACTAATTCTTGAAGAAAAATCTGTGTATTTCGATTACATTTATTAACTTTAATTTTAGTTTAATCAATATATTTTGCTAATAAAAAAGGAAGCGGATTAATAAAATTTTTTAGTGACTTAAATTTTAATATTTGACAGTTATAAATTATTCTAGACAAGTTTAAAAATATTTGGATATGTTTATTTGACAGAACATAAATACAAATAAAATCTTCAATATACTTTAAATAAAATGAACATATAATGCTACCAAAAGAAATGAATATAATGAAATTTATCAAACTCTATAACAATCTAATGATTAGTTTAAGAAAAATAAGATAAAAATATTTAATCCTTTCAGACTTATTTTTAATTACTTTGATTTTTTCTTTCAATTAAGTAGTTTATTATTAAATAGTTGTTTATTATATTAATATATTATTTTTATATATTGATCCTAGGTAAATAATATTTATTAAATAAAAGTTTTATAATTTATTTTTTTATATTACTAATATTTATTCTATAATAAATATTATATTATGTAGAAATAAAGAAATTTATTAATATTTTACTATTTAAAATTTAATCTTATTGATTTATTATAAAATTAAAAGATATAAATTAGAATTAGCATTATATATGATGTATAATAATTCTATCCTATAAAAATTGTATAAAAATTGTATATAAAAATATTATAGAAATGATATATTATAATAATTTTATATTACAATTTTATATATTTAATAATAAATTTATTTTTTTAAAATTAAAATATATAAAAATATATGTAAAGTATATAAAATTATTAAAATATATAATTTAATAATAAAAAAAAATGTATTACAAATTAGTATTGCTATAAATTTATTAAATTATTATATATTTTTTTACTATTATTTTTTTTTAAAAAAAAAAACTTTTATTTATTTAATATAATCTTTAAAAAAATCTTATATTTAAATTTATATTTAAACTAATACTTATTAAATATTAGTGTTTCAGGCTACAAAAATCTTTTTAAATTTAGGATATAGATATTTTAGATAGTTTCAAATTTTAGAAAAATTTTTTAAGTGAAATGTTTTAGAAGTTGAAAAATAGTTTTGCCTGAAATACTATTAAATATATTTTTTTTTTATTTTATAGATTTTAACTTTATAAGTATTTATAATAAAAACAGAAATCTATAAAAAAATATTTTTAATTAATATTAAATCTTTAAAAAATCATATTTAGCTTATATTTAAATACTTTTATTTTTAAATATAAGTTATTGATACTATTTATTTACAAATTTTAATTAAAATTGAATTAATATTTATGAAATTATAGATATTTTATATTTGTATTAATTAAATTGTATTATTTTTTAATTTTATAATATAATTTTAATATTTATATCAATATTAATAATCTTTTATTTTTAAATAAAAAATGATCTATAATATAAAATCTACTTATATTTAAATTTTATTAAGGTTAATTTAATATTTATGTAATCTGTATTTATATAAGTTTCTAGGATTATATAAATAGAAAAGATGTTATATAAAACCTAAGATAAAATTTTTTTTTTATGATTAATATTATAAAATTTTTAATATAACATCTTTTTCAAATATATAATATTTATATAAAATTCAAAATCAGTCAAAATTAATTTAATTAATTAAAAACTATTAAACTTAAATTATAATTATACTTAAACATTTTGTAATTCTATAATGCTAGCTTAAATCTCATAAAATTTCATAAAATTTAGATTAAGATAATATTATATTCATATAATATAATTTTTAATCTAATTATTAAATAAATTTTATTAATCTATTTATAATCTTATTAAATATTTTTCACATAACTTTTATTATTTGAAAAGAAACTTTATCAAAACTAGTATATTTTTTCATTTTTTTTAATTATAATAAAAATATATTATTTAAGTACTAATAAAACAAAAGTAATGATGATTTGTTTAATAATATACTTAAAAATGAAGAAGATTTAAGTTTATTTTCATTCTTTTAAATTATTCTTTTATTCTTTTTATTTTTTAATAATTTATTAAATTTTATCTTTATTTTTAATTTTTTAACATTTTAATAATCTTATCTTTATTTATTTTGATTATTTTTATTAAAATATTTTAATAAACAAAAAAAAAAGTATAAAAAAATAATTACTATCAAAATAAATTAAAGAATATTTAAGTAATCTTTCAAATTTAAACTTATGTTTATTCTTTTTAATAATATAATTAATAACTTATTAATATATTTCTTATTAATTTTTGTATTTTCTATTATCTTTAATGATATAAATACTGATTTCTAATATTTTTTACTTTCTTAGATTAAATTATTGTATGTTAATTTAGTTTTTATAATTTGAAAAGTTTATATATGAAAATTGAATTTAATAAAATAAATTAGAAGAATTTTTATATATTTACAATAAAGATTAAAAATTGTTTCACATATTTATAAATATTTTTATATTACAAAATTTTATTTTTATAATATAAGATTAAATACACTCACCTAGCAAAAATGACCGACCAACAATAATTTTGTGATAAAATACCTCATTTTTAAATAAGTATATTTCGATAATTTACATATTAATTTCATATAAATTTTATATTATTAGATAGG